GAGATAGAGAAAGAAAGAAGGGGGAGACAGAGACAGAGAGAGGTAGTGAGAAAGGGAGGGAAGGAGAGAGAGAGAGAGAGGGGGGGGGTGGAGTGATTGAGAGAGTGAGTGAAAGAAAGACGGACAGAGAGAAGAAGAAAGAGAGGGGTGGGATAGATAGCGAGTAAAGAAAAAGGGGGAAAAGGAGAGATAGTGACAGGAAGTGAGTGAAATGATGAGTGGGAGAGAGAGAGTGAAAGGGAGAAAAAAAAGACAGAGATAGAAATAAAGAGAGAAAGAGAAAGAGAGAGTGAGAGTGAGTGCAAGAAATAAAAATAGATAGAGAGATAGATGAAAAGATGAGTGAGAGATTGAAAGAAAGAGACAGAGAGGGAGGAAGGAAGGGAGAGAGTAGGTAGATGGAGAGAAAAAGAGGGGGAAGAGATAGAAATAGAAAGAAAGAAGGGGGATGGCATAGACAGAGAGAGGTAGTGAGAGAGTGAGGGAGAGAGGTAGAGAGAAAGACAGAGTGAGGGAGGAGGAAGGACCAGAGAGAGCGAGTCACAAAGAGAGAGACAGAGAGAGAGAAAGAGCGAGGAAAGAGAGAGACAGAGAAAGAGAGAGAGAGTGTGTGTTGGGGAGAGAAAGAGAACAACAGAGAGAGTGAAAGAAAGAAAGAAAGAGATAGAAATAAAGAGAGAGAGTCACACACATACACCCACACACACACAAGCAGGGAGAGAGAAAATAGAGAGAAGAGGGAGGGGGTAGAGCGGGGGAGGGAGGGTAGGAGAAAGAGAGTCACAAATAGAGATAGAGAATGTGTCAGAGAGAGAGAGAGGGAGGCGTAGAGCGGGGGAGGGAGGGTAGGAGAAGGGAGAGAGAGGTCACAGAGAAAGTGAGAGAGAGAGAGAGAGAGAGAGAGAAAAGAAAGAAAGACAGAAATAAAAAGAGAAAGGGGGAGGGGGAGGCGAAGGGAGAGGAGGTTGGGAGGAGGGAGGAAGGGAAGGCAAGAGGGAGAGTGTGTAAAAAAAAAAAAAAGAGAGAGGGAAGAAATAGATAGTGAGAAAGCGAGAGAGAGTTGGGGGGGGGGGGGGGAAATAAATAGAGATATGGAGTGAGAGAGTGTATCAGAAAGGGAGTGAGTGAGATAGTTAGTGAAAGAAAGAAAAAAAGAGAATGACGAAATGAAAGAGAAATAAAGAGGCAGAATATGATAAAGAGAAAGAGAGATAAAGAGAGAAAATAATAATAAAGAGAAAGAGGGTGAGAGAAATTGATAAAGAGAAAGAGAGAGAAAGGGAGGGGGGAGATAAAGCGAACGAGATCGAGAGATAAACAGACAAAATTAGTAACAAAGGGAGACACAGAGAGAGAGGGTGTGTGAGCCTGTGTGTGTGGGGGGGGGGTGCACAAGTATATATTAGGCGATGGGATATAAACACGTATGTATGATTTGTTTCGTTCATCTGGAAAGCACTTTATCTTGTGCTAAATCCTGATAATGGTTTGTGCTATCAAGATCCTACAAGCCATGACACTTCTATGCGGAGACGCATCCACACTCGAACAGCAGAGCAAGTAAACACGCGTTTGCTTGTTTCAACTCAAGCAACTACAAGTTAAGTGGTTGAAGGAGGGAAATAAAATTTACTTCCTATAAGGCTGTTGTATAATGTTCGGTATCTTAAATGTTTTCATTCTGATTCTGAGGGAGTGGGTATACTATGTTGCGCTCTACTTTTCTTTGGCATATATATAATTTCTGTTCTCTCGTTTGCCAATTCATGTCTAATCACTGTGTGCGCGTATGTGTTTATATATTATCTTGATGAGTTTATGAAATAATTTCTCGTTATATGAAATATATAAGAAGCCGTTGACTTTGATGAGTATTTTTCATACACGAATTCCTGGAATTATTTGATAGCTTAAATGGCATTATAACTGCACATTCGCCTCCGGGAGACGGTGGAGGCGAACCCCTTCACCAATGCGGTCAAAATTCAAGAAGAACTACAGCTCCCAGTAACAAGTCGCACGGCGAGAAAGCGATTGCACGCAGATGGGATTCATCACCGTACACCAGCTGTGAAAGAGAGGTTGACCGAACGTCATCGCCAAGGTCGTCTCCAATTCGCCCAGCAGCATATCGACAAAGATCTGGATTACTGGGGAAGAGTTATCTGGACTGATGAAAAAACTTTTTGTTCCACCGCGCACGGGAAGCTTCATTGCTGGAGGAGAGATAACACAAGGTATGTAAATGTAACCTTTTTCACCTTGCATTTTATTGTATCATGATGTATAGAAAAGATAAGTCTACAGATTATTGCCGTATGTCGTTATGTTCATGTTCTAATCTCTCTATAATTTCCAGATATGATAGACAAAATATCTATGAAACTGCGAGAAGTGGACACGTGACATGCCTATCACTCCCTCCCCTTACTCCCATTCTCCTCCACTCTCTTATTCGCTATCTAACTCTCATTCTCTCGCTCTCTGACTAGCCCTCTCCTCTCATTCTCTCGCTCTCTGACTAGCCCTCTCCTCTCATTCTCTCGCTCTCTGACTAGCCCTCTCCTCTCATTCTCTTACTCTCTCTGATTCTCCTTACCCTCTATGTCTATCTATCTGTTTTTAAATGTGTTTTGATTGGTTTTTCTTTCTCGTTCGCTTGCGGTGTTGACAGTGACGCTCAAGAAGTGTGAAAGAGGCAGGGGGCCCTCTCCTCCATTCTTTGGCCATAAAGGAATGGCTTTTTTATTTTCTTACAGAACGCATTTAGTGCTATGAACCTGTCGGTTGTAATAATGCATTTGTTACTGTGGTGCAAAACTCATCAAAATATCCACGCATGATTTTGAAAAACACTTTTTACAGTGCATCAGCCATCCAAATGAAATATTGGTATATCAGGTTCATTATTTTCTTACAATGCTGTATCGGCGATAAATGTATTGGTATCGCTTTAACTGTCTTCGAAGAATCGATGTATCAGAATCGTTTTAGTCAAATTTCTCGTATCGATGCATTGGTATCGCCCTAGACAGTTCTGTGCATCTATGCCCATCACTGAATATAACGCATCATGATTTCTACTTATTGAAACAGTTTGCTTTCGGCGAAAAGAAAAATCTCATTTCATTAGTTCGTTTAGCTGCTACTAGATGGTGTAGCTCCGAGAAGCAGTTGATAAATTCTCAACGAATTTGCAAATTTCTGTTTGATTTAGCTGTCATACATAGTTGTTTGAAGTATAAAGCATTTTCTAGGTTCAAGAAATCATGCAAATATCATTGTTAATTGTTTTGTTTAAATAAGGGAGACATGCCACTTTACCTCCATAGGTGTTGCCATCTCGATAAACAATTCCAAAAAGTCACATTTGAAAAATATTCCACTACGAAGCCAACGACTGCAAATACTGCGTGTTTTGCAATCACTTATATGAAGAAAATGCAATATGAAATGGCTTGCTTCGTTTCGAAAAATAGATATTATTATACTTATTGGTTATTTCTATTCGACCAATCGCGCTCAGTCTTACAAACAAGTTAGGGGTTTCGCCCCATTCATAGAAATGCTATTTACTCTATGTTTACATCGTACTTGTTGCCAGATGTATGAAAGTGGGTTCCAGCATGTGTACTGAAATATAATTCCGCAACTGTACATACACTTCTTCTCGTACCATCCACTGCATATGAAGAGAGGGGTTGCCACCTCGCTGTTTCTCCGTGCCCTCCGCATCTGTGACCCCCAGTACCTGGATGGAGAGATCGACTTCCTGCGTCGTTCGTTCTCCAAACTGGGCTATCCTCGCCATGTCCTAGACGTCGCGTTATCCAGGGCGCGACGTACCTTCTACCATGACTCCCCTCCCAATGAGTCTCCTCACCTGCCTGTCCTCAGCCTGCCTTACACTGAGGAGATCTACTCCCTCCGTCGGCCCCTGCAGTCTCTCAACTGCAGACTCTCCTTTCGCCAGGTGAATACTCTCCGTCGGAACCTGGTTCACACCTGCCCTCCCTCTACCTCGAAGGTGGGCACCTATGCTGTTCCGTGTGCCTCCTGTGATAAGCAGTATTTTGGTGAAACAGGCGCCAGTCTTACTAAGCGTCTGTCTCAGCATAAGTACGCTGTATCCAGGGGACATACCAACAACGCCCTCTTCTGCCATCAGTGGGACACTGGCCATCAGATGGACTGGAAAGCTGCCCGCATTCTCTTCCCTTCCGCTGATGTCCATGCCCGCAGACTGGTGGAATCTTCTCTCATTAAGCTGCTGCCCAATTTCAACTTGAACAGCGGTTTCTCTCCTGCCGACAGCCTCCTCGCTTCCCACATCCTTCGTCTCCTCCCTTATGCCGGTCACCCGTCACATAGACCGCCTGATCCTTCGACCTGATCTGACCTCCCTTCGCTTCCGTTCTCCTGTCCTCTCCTGCCCCGTAGTTCCCGAGTGCTTCTCCTCCTTTTCCTCTTATACCGCTTCGTCTCCCTTGCCTCTTCAGACCCGAAGATGGAATCGAGGACGATTCCGAAACTGTTGTCTCACTTGCATCAATAAATCTAGTTTGTACATTGTGGGTTTTTCTTCCTTATTATCAACACAGTATTGTGTTTTTCATTGCATGTATATACATGCGGATATGTATATGTATATCTATGCATATATATATGTATATATAGTGATATTGACTTGAATGTATTACATTCAAATTCAAGTGAGATAATTATTATGTTTAGCTTTATGATTACGATTACTAATGCTATCCTTAAATTATCAAAGTGCATTATCTCCATCACTTTCATCTTTGATATGATTATCTTTATTGCTCTTATCATTGCTGCATTTATGATTACTGTCGCTACCATTACATTAATATCATCTTTGTGGGCATTCTTTTAAGTGTTACTATTGTTATCATTATCATATTATCATCTTACCATTAGTTTCATTTCCTCATCTAAATCATCATGTATTGTTTCGTTGCAATAAACGTCTTGAACGA